TCCATCTTGTCTCTTCTCTTGTGTTTAGAGACCCACCATAATGCTTTACTGAAGATTTTATGTTTCGTCCATGTTATGTAATATCAAGCCTCTCAATGAACTTTGTTTTAATGAAGAAAAACCATAATGGCAAGAAGGAAAATATGTTGATCAAGCTAAAGCATCAATGGATAAAAGTATTTGGTTCAAGCTCTTGGAAAATTTCATAAGGTATAATAACAATTCTTGCTATGAACTTAAGTCTTAGATGCTCAATGATCAAAAAAAGTTTTTAAACTTGTCTAAACTTTTTCTCAAGTTTTCTAAGCAAAAAATCCACGTTTACATCTGTGCAATCGATTTACATATTGATGCAATCGATTGCATGACTTACATTTTCAGCTGTTTTGCTCCTGTTTCTTAGTGCAATCGATTTACACAAGAGTCTGATTGATTGCTCTCTGGTTAAAAAATGCTACTATTTTAAAGTGCAATCGATTTGCATATTTTTGCAATCGATTACTCACTGAAAATATTTGAAATTTATGGTTGTTAGAACTTGTGAAATTGATTTTCATCAAGGGTGAAATCGATTGCTCGCTGAACGTTTTTGAAAATCAGCAGCTTTGAACATACCTTTTCATAACACCATTTCATGGAATCTTTTCACTTAATTTTTGCAATTGTTCATGATTAATTTACATAAACTTATGTTGTTTCAAAGAGTTGCTATGAACATATAAATATTGAAATTTCAAAATAAATAAAAAAACAACCTCTTCCAATCAATATTTTTTTGAATTTTCAAATATTCAACTCAAGTCTTTTTCACTTTCATTCGAAAAAGTTTTCTGCATATTTTCATATCTTGTATAACAGAAAACTTTGAGCAATCTAAGTCTTGAGTTATTGTATATCACTGCTATTGGAAGAGAAGATCAAGTTATTGATAAAATCACTCAAAGTGATTATTTCTCTACAAACTTACTCAATCAAAATATTACTGCACACTTTCTTATTTTTCAGGATTGTTGGAAATAAGATTAGTGGTTTTTGTTTTCAAAGATTATTGGAAACAAGTAAGGTCACCTTGAGAGGATTGTTCTCATTTTTGACATAGTGAAAATTCAAGAGGATTGTTCTTGGTCCAAGAGGATTGTTTTTGGTTTTGGTAGTTCTTGTTTAAGTTTCCCAACTATAAGGAAATCTCTTTCATGTTGAAAGAGGACTGGAGTACTCTTGGACTGTGAGGGGAACCAGGATATATCGCTTGTGTCTCTTTATTTTTCTACACTTTACTCTCTCATTAACTCACCATAAACCAGAAAAATAATATCCATCATCACTAAAACCAAAAAAGTTTTAAAGTACCTAATTCACCCCCCTCTTAGACGCATTTCGTACTTACAATTGGTATCAGAGCAGGTTATAGGTAACCTGTTCCTAGAGATCCAGTATGGCTTCCACAAATCAAAATCCTGTTTTTAGAGATGGTGGTAGTAACAACAAGCAGTGTTTTAAAACCCAACCCGACCCGGCTGGTCGGACCGATCTGACCGAGAACCGGTGGGCCAGGCGGTCTGATTAAGGGATAAGACCGGAATTACATTTAGACCGGATGAAACCGATGTGAACCGGCCGGATCACCGGTTAAACTAGTGAACCGGCGGTTTTTACTGAACCGACGGGTTTGACTATTTATTTTATTTTTTAGGGCTTTTGAAAAAAAATTAACATAAACGCTTTGCCTCCTCGTTTCCCAAACCTGGGCATTTGAAAGGTTTTCTTTTTTATTCTGTCTTTTATTTTTCTAATTGAAGTCATATTCTCAATTTTCTCTACCAACAAAAACTCCCACTTGCTGCTGTTATTTGATATTCCTTGTTTGCCGTCAAAAATTTCATCAAAACATCAAAAACAAGTTATTTCTTTTTTACTTGGTCTAATTTGCATTGATGTTTTTCAATATGAATATTATTGTTTCATTTTGTTGATTAATTGATATAGAAAATAAATGATTAAATTTGATCATTTTCTATAAAATTGGGTCTTTTAGTTTAACAAATTGAGATAGAATTTGTATGAATGAAGCAGTTTTATACTTTTATGAATTAACTTATTATAGACTGGTAATGAAGTTGTTGTATATTGGAGATAGAAATTGGGATAAATATATATTACTGTAATAGTCGTTGTATATATTATGGAGATAGAAATTGGGTTTAAAACTATGTAATCTAAATTATATAGTAAGACAAAGTTTTATGTTTTTTATTAATTTAAATTATATAACAAAGAAAAGTTTCAGGATTTTATTAATCTAAAATATATAGCAAAGGCTGGAAAGCAAAGTTTCTATTTTTTTATTATATATGGTGATGCACAGTAACGATGCTTGGTAGCCTATATGTAATATACAATAACATATTCATATATTTTGGATTTAGATATACTACATATTTAATGTTTCTTATAATGTTTTTATAAATTCAATAATTTTTGTTTAGAATTGTGTTTTGTTAATATTTTTGTAATATAGTTTTGTATTTTTAAATTTTGATTGATATTAGATATGGCATCACCCGCTGAAGTAATAACTTCGGAAGAAGTTACATCTCAAAATTCAACCCAACTCCAGAGCAGTAGGGGAAAAACTGATATAGCTTGGGGTCATTGTAAACAAATTGAAGAGAAAGGAAAACTTGTTAATTTGTGTATTTACTGTGATAAAATTATTAGAGGAGGGGGGATTAATAGGTTCAAATTCCATTTGGCTGGAATAAAAGGTCAAGTTGAAACATGTAAAAAGGTGCCTCCAGATGTTCAATATCAAATGAAACAAAATCTTGATGAAGGTGCAACACCAGAGAAGATGAAGTTGGTGGAGAAGACAATGAAGTTGAAGATGGATATGAATATCAAGATTATGACAATTTGACTTCATGGACATAAAAAATTATGGATCGTTGAGTATGAATTTTTGTGACTTATTATAATACTATAACTTATGAATTGTTAAGTTTCTATCACTTCTTTGAATTTATAATTTACTACATTAAGTTTCTATCACTTATTTTGATTGTTACTAATACTTTTATTTATTCTAAATTATTTGAATCTATAATTTTCTATATTATTATAGTTACAAATTTCAGGTAATAAATATATTTTTTATAGAAACCGGGTCAAAAGTCATGCGGTCTGACCAGTGACCCATTGGTCCGACCAGTAACCCAGTGACCCAGTAACTTTACCGAGTCGATCGCCGGTCTGGGTTTTAAAATATTGATCCAGTGTTTTAAAACTCAACCCGACCCGGCCGGTCGGACCGGTCTGATCGAGAACCGGTGGGTCAGACGGTCCGATTAAGGGATAAGATCGGAATTACATTTAGACCGGATGAAACCGGTGTGAACCGGCCGGATCACCGGTTAAACCAGTGAACCGGCGGTTTTTACTGAACTGGCGGGTTTGACTATTTATTTTATTTTTTAGGGCTTTTGAAAAAAAAATTAACATAAATGCTTTGCCTCCTCGTTTCCCGAACCTAGGCATTTGAAAGGTTTTCTTTTTTATTCTGTCTTTTCTTTTTCTAATTGAAGTCATATTCTCAATTTTTTCTACCAACAAAAACTCCCACTTGCTGCTGTTATTTGATATTCCTTGTTTGTCGTCAAAAATTTCATCAAAATATCAAAAACAGGTTATTTCTTTTTTACTTGGTCTAATTTGCATTGATGTTTTTTAATAAAAATATTATTGTTTCATTTTGTTGATTAATTGCTACATTAAGTTTCTATCACTTATTTTGATTGTTACTAATACTTTTGTTTATTCTAAATTATTTGAATTTATAACTTTCTATATTATTATAGTTATAAATTTCAGATAATAAATATATTTTTTATAGAAACCGGGTCAAAAGCCATGCGGTCTGACCAGTGACCCACTGGTCCGACCAGTAACCCAGTGACCCAGTAACTTTACCGAATCGATAATTGGTCTGGGTTTTAAAACATTGCATTGATCTAATCTATTTTCTACCATCTTTCCTACTATAGACATTACCAAACACTCTAATATTTTTATTTTTAATCTTATCATGTTTAGTCTTACAACATATTTAACGTAATATTCTTAACCCTCCAATATTTTATTACGTATAACATCGCATGTCTCATCGCAGTCTAATAAAAAAAATTCTTTCAACTTGAGAGAATCCATTACATCACATAAAACACTTAAAGCACTTCTCCATTCGGAAACTCAATTTGAATTCGATGGTTTAACTCCCTTCTATTTCTCCATCATTTTAAATGTGTTGTTAAAATATAACTTATAATTCAAGATTCAAATTTTAACACTAAATAACTTTGTATGATTCAAAGGACTTCTGAGAAGTTTGGTAGAAAAGAGTTTCACGTTTTCAACTCCCTAACACGTAACAGTGTCAAATAAAAAGGAAAATAATGAGAAGATTATTTGCAAAATTCATTATGATCTTATTTTGATAAAAGAAAACAGTATATAATTCTTAAAACAAAATATCATTCTTAAATTAAAAATAGCTAAATTTTATTCTAGAAGTTATTTTAAATTTACTTTGGTTCCCTAATCTTTTTTGTTCCACTTTTCGTATTTTAAGTTATTATACTCACTACATAAACGTTAAATAATATGGTCCTTTAAAATAATAGTGCCCAATTAAGTTCTTGAAGTAACAATTCAATTTACAAAAGAAAATCTGGCATAAAGAATTAAAGTGCGTAACATTTCTAACTAGAGACCGAAATGAAAACGAAACAATTAAGAGACAAAAATGTTTAGTGTTTCTAAGTTTAAGTATCAATTCAAGTGATGAGGTATGAAAACCTTAAAATATTCATTCATGATGTTATTGCAATAGGATTAGCAGCAACAACTTTAGTACAAAACAGTTTCACAAATATATTATGTGAAAGTAATTGAAAGCTAAAACTTCTAGGAACCAAACTTTATATCAACCAGAAATTTCTCAATAACTAAATTTTGATATTGAAATAATCTGCGTCAAAATGGTGCAAACGTACGTATCCATCTTCACCTCCACTTGAAAAACTACAAAACATAAAGATGTGAAAGATCAACAAACAAAAGAAACAGTAAATTCTACCATGATGCCACAGAAAAGGAGAAGGTGAAAAACAAAGGATGTACGTACCTTTTTCCGTCAGGGTTAAAGGCTAGAGCATTGATCGGTCCAAAATGCCCTTTCACACCCCCGATTTCTTCTTGAAGAATCTAAACAAAGGAAAAAATAACAAATATGAAAAATAGAAGCCTTGGAGAACTTGAAATGGTATTGGAAGGGAAAACCAAATCTACCTTATCATAGAACTTTGCTTCAAATTTGCCAGCCCTGTGATCGGTAGTGGTAACAGATGATGCATCCTGACCACCTCCAAGTACCACCTATAAAAGATCGCGGAGTAAGGAGTTGAGAAAACCTTACAACGACTAGAATAATATACATCCCGAATAAATAAAAGAAGAAAATTGAAAAATATATAAGATTTTCATGCAGGAATTACTAGTAAGCAACTCAGGCGTTCAAAAAAGAATTTAGTAGTTTCCGGAGAAAATATTCACAGGAAAAAAGAGTCGGGATATTAGGAAAACTTTTAACCATCTTCCTAAAATCATAGGACACTTTTATGCAAGAGGAACCAAGGAAGACATAAGTAGCTTAATCAAATAAAGATGAACCAATATTACTTGCGTAGTTTACAAAGACTATTAATATGAATAACATAGGACATGATGGAAATTAGGTTAAATAATTGACAAAAACATACATGATCAAGAAGAGGTGACATTGCAACTGCATTGACGGGACGTTCTGTTACATATGTCTTGATTAGAGACAGTGTTCTGCTATCCCAGATCTAGTTAATAGCCAGAAGATATTCATTAATATTGCAAAAAAGAAAGGAAAACTGGTTAGGCAAACTGCAATAATATCATGGTATGTTGCAGAGGATTAAAAAAATGAATTAAAATGACGATGATACCTTAGCAGACTTATCAAGGGAACCAGTTATGAAATGTGTACCATCAGCAGATTTGGCGAGTGATGTTATTGCCTTTTTGTGGCCAGATTCCTTGTCTGACTCCTTTAGTAGTTTTCCGGTCTGCAAGCAAGCAAGTGAAACAAAAATGAAGTCATTGTAGTTGGTGGTGATAGTATTAGTGACTTCAAGTGTTTGCAAAATAAATAAATATAGGAAATAAGAAGGAAGACCTCAGAATCCCAAATTCGAATGACAGAGTCTTCTCCGGCACTGATAATGGTTTTGTTGAGGGGACCCCATATGGCTCTATTGATTCTTCCGTGAGGGCCCTTAATGACAAGCAAAGAATCCCCGGTCTCTGAATAGAACAAAGGAACATTGGCATTAGCATTGGCCGTCAGCAAATTTGCAGAGAGAGAGAGATATCGAAAGAGGTTGCTTACGGTCTGCGGGATCTTTAGCAATGCGTTTCACATGGATTGCTGAAGTCAGTTCCATGAATGGGTCAGTGGTGATAACTGCAAGCTTATCACCAACGGAGAAGTCAACAGACCTTGCAGGGGAGTCAAAATTGAATGTGAACAATTGCTGACCAGTTTGCACATTCCATAGCTTCGCCGTCTGGTCAGCACTGCCTGTAATAAGTCGGCCTGAATCTCCTGTAACCAGCCCCAACCATCAATTTAACTTATACTTTATTGCATAAAAATACTATTAGCACATTGAAATTGAAGAGGGCAAACTTACTAGAGACATCGCAGCACCAAACGGCACCATTATGGCCTCGATAAGTGCCCAGACGTTCACCATTGTCAGCATACCATACAGTAGGGTTGTGGTCTTTAGCACAGGAAAAGAGAAGATCACCATCCCTGTTGTACTTGAGAAATGTCAATGGCCTCTCATGGCCTTTCATCAAAATGGGCCTCATGATTCTTTCCTGTCTCTCCTTGGCTAGCAGATAGCCTGCAAATTACAGTTCCAACAAACAATAACACAGTTAGGGCTCCTGGTGCCATTCATGAACTTACGAGCATTATGACACCCAAAAAACAAAAACAAAAACTCACTAATATTTGCAGTCAAAAAATAAATCTGTAACCTATGATCTAAATAGCACGTTGTAGCATAATAGCATAGCGGTGATAGGATCCAGTGCAACGCTTTTGGCCTGCATATTGCTGTCAGCAATAGAGGTTGTAGCGGTCGCTAATTGCCAGAAAATTGTGTGTCCCTAAATCGCTGTAACATCCTCTATTAAGGTTTCAGGTATTAAATTCCTCGTTCTTTTTTTAAGGGCATAAACTTCAATCTGAACCTTTTTAAATGTGGTACTTTGTTCTTCATTATGTTATATACTTGCTCACATCACAAACAATCGGTCTTTCTTCTTCCTACTTTAGTTCAGTTCAGCTATGTTCGTCTTCTCTGCCTAAGTTATATTGCTCTATATTTTAGGTTTCTTTAACTATTAAGCATGATAGTCTCTCTAGTTTTTTGTATTTTTCTTTTTTTAAGTATCATGTTTACTTCATACACTTACCATATCTAGTTAGGAAAGCCTCAATACCAAGTTATCATATCAAATACCATCTTGCTTTGGCTTAATTTTTCATATAAATATAGATTCCTTGGATCAAATTTAGCGAAAATAGTCCACCCGCAAATAAAAGGGTGTTCAAAATCCTAAAAATTGAATGTGTGTCCCGGATTCAACACATGAAAATTTGACACCGACACATGTGATTGCATTCAATATTTCCATATTCTAACAAGGGTTTCCAAAACCCTATTTAGCATGAAAAGCATCAGATTAAATGCCCGGAATCGGACACATGTTGGACTTGAAAATCCCAAACCCTAAACCCTAGTGTCTGTGTTCAATCTTCTTATCATGTTTGTACTTCATACCTAAAAATCTAAATTGCTACAAAAAATCCTTCTATGGATGCATCTAGGTAGACAAACTAAACAATCACACGTAAATTCAATCGGACATATATAAACCAAATCGAAATCGCAGTGCAATGGCGAGTTATGCTCTACTTCGATGCTAATCGGAAAAATCGGAAAAATCGGGAAAATGTATAATGAAAAGGGAAACCTGAACGGAATTTCTCGCTGATTCTGGCGACTGACGATCAACTGCGGTTGCGTTTCCGGCGGAGCGTTGAGATCAGTGCGACTCGAAGATACGAGGGTTAAGGGTGAAGCTCGGCTGTGTTTTCGGTTTTAATGGATTGGGCTTATCAGTAATAACATTTCAATCCAAAGAGGAATTAACATCTCAACCCCTCAATTATACATGTCACCCTAGTGGCAAAATTACCGAAAAGTCTTTGTAAAATATCGGAATTTTTTAAATCATAGTTTTGTACCGGAATTTTTGGTGGAATATCGGAAATTTTGTTTAATTTATAATTTTTTACTATGGTGTATGCGTGTAAGAGGAAATTTCAAATTTTCGGTATCGAAAATTTTAAATTTTCGATAATTGTCTTTCTTATATGTATCGGAAATTTGAAATTTCTAATAGGTTTTAAAAAATTGAAAATTTCAAATTTCCGATAATACTGGGAGTTGTTTTTCCCAATTTTTAACTTTTGCTTGAATAATTTATAAAGTAAATCAACTAACTGATTTAATATATAAATAGAACAATTGTCATACATATTTGAACCAGAAAAAAAACTACAATCACTTCCTATACGAATTTTCTCAATGTCTGAAGCGACCCGCATATGCTGATTCTCGTGATTTTGCATCATTAGAACAATTTTGTTTCAAACGAACAGTGACGGGAGGCAATGGACAATCGAGTTTCAACTTTATTTGAACCCAATGATTATTGTTGACAAAACCAACAGCAGTGATTGTATGCTGACTCGTCTACGTGGGTGGAGCTTTGAGGAGTGGGAAAATATTGTGTTAAGTTGCATGGAAAGGGAAACAAATACGACTCTGTATTTAGAAGCAATAGGGTAATCCATATCAGGAATTGACATCCATTTATCTCTACCCTAGACATCCAAGTGTTCTATTTGTAACGATTTCCTAACAACAGAGACAATATCATATAACAACTTAGAAAACAAGTTAGCGTATTGATGGAATTGAGTATCTAATTGCTTTCCAACCAAATAACATGAATCTTCCTCCCATCCTAATAAAGATAAAATGCAACGAAAACCACAATTTTTGTCATTCTAAACATCAATAATGTCATCGATGTATGGATGAAAGAAAGCAGGAAACTGTGACAAGTACTTATCTCTTGAAGATTACGCTAAGGGATCCTCATCAGAATCCTAACACCTCCTTTCCTAAGTATAATTTGAATGCGAGATGTGCCTACCATTCTAACAGCACTCACACGACACCAATAATTGCTGGAGCGTGAAAAACAAAATTCAAGACATGATTGACAACAAGGAAATTGAGTTTGATCCTCCGGAGACCCCGAGTGTGATTACTGCGCCTATGTCGAAGCATGAAAAAGACATAAGTGCAATTGATGATGTTCTTTATGTTGCTGCTATAAGTGAATTGATGACTCCTATACCAATTATCAAGAAGAATCTGCTGCAAGTCGATTTATTTCCAGGTTGTATTGAGAAATGTTACTGTTGCGTAGTCCAACCCAATGGTTGTAGATTATTGAAGGAAGGCATTCAACTCCTAATGGACAATCGTATAATCCTGATCGAGAAGGTTCTGTCTGCTGCAGTCTGTGTCAAGACTTATCCGTAATTTCTGGCCCTCTTGTCAGGATCACCTTCAAAGACCCTGTAAGGATTACTGCCAATCAAAAAGTTGCTCCTCTAATCATCACTACACCTGGACCTATCTCATATTCTTCAGATAAAGCTATTCCTTGGAACTATGAATCCAACGTCTACTACCATGGCATCAAATAAGAACTACTGATCGTTGAAGATGAAGTTACTGAAGTTGTTGATCCCGACATTGACAATATTGCCAGAACCAGTAAGGTTACTAGAAGCAGAAGGGTCTTCTCTCCAGAAATCTCTCCAAAGACTATTTCCACGCCTATTAAAATTATTGTTACCGAGTCAATTGTTGAGACTCGAGGAAAAGAGCCAATAACAGAGCTTGCCCAAACGGAGACACCTAAGGAAGCTACAACTGAAGACACCTCTAGACAAGAGTTGGAAGAGGTATTAAAGATCATCGCAAAAGTGATTATAAAATTGTTGAACAGCTGGGGCAGACCCCATCCAAGATCTCTATGTTATCCCTACTATTGTGTTCTAAATCCCATGCACATGCCTTAGTGAAATTTTTGAAGACTGCTCATGTACCACAAGAGATTTCTGCCGACCAATTTGGAAGTTATATTACTAGCTTGACGACTGATAATGGATTAGGTTTCTCTGATGTTGATCTAACTCTTGAGGGAAGAAACCACAACATGGCCCTGTATGTCTCCATTGAATGCAGTGGCACTACTCTGGCTCGTGTTTTAGTTGATATTGGCTCTTCATTGAATGTCCTACCAAAAGGCCCTCTTGACAGACTTGATTGCGAAGGAGTCGTATTGAAACCTAGTGATATTGTGGTTAGAGCCTTTGACGGATAAAAAAGGATGGTACACGGGGAAGTGGATCTTCTAATCAAGGTGGGTTCATAGATCTTTGAATCTACCTTTTATGTAATGGATATCCGACCAGCTTATTCCTGCTTATTGGGACATCCCTGGATCCATGGGGCAGGTGTTGTTACCTCGGCCCTACATTAGATGTTAAAGTATCATGTGAACGGAAAGATTGTTACTGTTTGCGGTGAAGAAGAGTATATGGTCAGCCACTTGAACTCTTTCCGGTATATAGAGATGGACGGTGAGTTCATTGAGACTCCTTATCAGACTTTCGAAGTTACCCCTCCTGCCTCAACTGAAGACGTCTATGCCATTCCCAAAGTCACTAGGGTTCCGCCCAGGATGGCTTTGTTTAAAGATGCCAAAGCTACTGTAGAAGAAGAGGGTCAGAGGGTTGTTCGTCACGCTCGTGCTAGAAGACAATCATTTTGCATCAGCAATAACTGAGTCAATGTGATAAGAGATGCTGACGGTGATTATGACCTTGACAGTTGGATCTTTCCTACCATTGGCAACGAGCTTAGAGACTGGAAGGAGGAAGACATTATCTCTATCTCCTTTAGTCAGGAGTAATAGCTTACATTCCTATTTTTCTTGCTTTCAAGTTTTGGCTTTATAATATTCAAACAATGACTTTAAGCCTTGTGCCTTACCCGGGGCACAATGGTGCATTTGTTAAGGGTTGTCATTTCATAAACATATTTTCATTCAATAAAAGCATTGGTTGTTTTGCATTTAAATTTTGTGCTCTCTTTCTTTCTTTTCACTTTTATCACTTTCAAATAGCTATGTGTTCTTACACACAATACATTACAGATCCACAACTTCACAAAATGGGTTGAAGCAGCCTCGTTTGTCTCTGTTACTAAGAATGTGGTTTCCATGTTCATTAAGCATAACCTTATCTGTCGGTATGTGTGATACGGTGGGAGAACTGACTTGAGGTTTTGCGTTTGTGTTCGCAAATGTTTCGGTTTAGCAAGAGTCGCCACCGACTTTTTATCTTATCCTAAGGAAAGGCCAAAAAGCACAGGAAAGACCTTTGAGATGTTTTCTTGGGTTCGGGGAGTAGATTATAGAAAGGGAAGGTATTAGCACCCTTTCTATCCATGGTTATCCATGGACTCTTAGTTACTTGTTTAGATCACTTGCTTTGCTTTTCAATTGTTTGAAATGGTGCTTTGTGTGTGATTTGGAAAGATGTTTTGAAAAGAGGCCATCGTTGTGGAAACCTTTGTAATGATTCTTGTTTGAATGTATACAAAGGTGTTTTTGTCTTTTGAAAAGTTTTCAATGTTTGAAAGTTGGGTTTT